AGGAGCGTGGTGTTGGATCACAAAGTCTTTAGAGTCTATAACAGTGTTTCTCAATCTCAGCGACTTTAAGATGTGTGGACTTCAACTCCCAGAATTCCCCAGCCAGCACGGATGGCTGGGGAATTCTGGGAGTTGAAGTCCACACGTCTTAAAGTTGCTGAGATTGAAAAACACTGCTTTAGAAAGTTACTGCCACTCTCTCTCAGCCATATTGCATGTGGTATCTTTATTTAAACTAGGGAGTCCCCTCGTGGACAACTCCAGATGTGTGTTTCTGAACTCCTAAAATTTTCAGGAATAACTTTGCTGGCTGGGGAATTCTGGGAGTTGAAGCTCACACTTCAGGAGAGCACCCAGGTTGCAGAAGGCTACTTTGGGCCATCTGGAGAAATTTCATTTCTCTTGGTTTGGCTTTGGGGCATGGAGGAACTATAACAAGAGTAAAAAAAAAAAAAAAAAAGCCAGGCCTGACTGATAGTTGTTGAAACAGGTTCAGAAAGGATGCAGAGCACAGATTCCGAATTCTTTCCAATCTCTAAATAATAGCTCTGCGTTTGGTCACGTGACTGGGAAGGAGGAAATGCGGCCTTAGAATGGACAAATTAGCAACATTCCAAGCCTCTGCCCAAGTAGGAAGTGTTGCCGGTATGATTTTAGAAATGTTTTTTCTTTGCTGGCTCTAGCTGGATTGCGTCCATTTTCCAACCTGAACTTTATTTTGGTGGCTTCTCCCCCACATCACTTTTGGTCCTGTTCTGTTTTCCAAAAGTTAAAGGCAAACATACAGAATTCTGAGCCCCTTTATCTAAGTTCTTCCCCTCACTCCACTGAGTGGGAAAAAATGAAAACGGCAAATCTTGAAGAATTAATATATTTTCATGCTCTAAACTGTAAATTGGTTAAAGCAGTTTATCTCATAAAAATGGCATCTTAACCAATGTTTGGATTTTATTCCTCACTCTAAAGTGCTCTATGATTGAAATGTGGTTTAACCTGTGTGGCTGTGCAGCTTATGACTGATCTTGGCTGATCTGAAAAACTAAGCAGGGTAGACTATGGTTAGTACTTGGATGAGAGACAACCAGAAAATATCAAGAAAACTACAGCTGAGCTCAATTCCAAGGATTCTTTATGAAGGGTGTTATGCTTCTAGCCCACATTGCAAAAATAAAATGAAAAATCCACAGACATTGATTGATTGATTGATTGATTGATTGATTGATTGAT